AATCACGCTTAGGCCTATGTGTTCTATTATGCCTATGTATAACGTTATACATAGGCATAATAGAACACATAGGCCTAAGCGTGATTAAAAAAATCTTAAATCCATAAATCTCAGGCCAGGTATTTTAAGATAGAAATGCGATACTGTGGTTCAATTTCGTATACTCGATGCATATTTACATGTTTAGAAGTATTCATTTTGAGTGATCCCAGGAAAGAATTTGTATTGGCTCAAGAATAAGCTTTAAAATTTTAACACTGTGTACAAAGGGGGGCCACGGCTCCCCCCTGGATACGTCCCTGTGCGAGGGTCCAAAAGCAGGAGGATTTCCAAACGAGAATAAAGATTTAGTGAAACCCAGAATGAAGATGAGTTTGGAAACTCATTTGAAAAAAGAGCCTTGGTGGATGGATTTCTGGAACGTGCGAGAGTGAGTTTTGAATATTATACCCAGGAAAATGTGAACCTTTGGGAATTGGAGGGGGTGCGTCGTTTGACACGACAATTTCTGGTAAATTGTGGCTCAGTCACAAATTAGCGAATGATAAATAAGGCCACCTTTTTCGGTAACCTTTATATATTCAGTCGTTGAAACAAAAACTTATAAAAACTAGGCATGTGGACTATAGAACACTGCATTTTTGAAAGATTTTTTCGACCAGTCTTCTGGCCTTCATCATCTGTAAAATTTCTTATAAATCATGCTGTGCAACTTCCAATATAACACATAAAAGTGTACAATTTTTAACGAGACAAGAAGAAAAACAAAATGATAAATAACAGAACAATATTCTTTTTCGAGAAAAATACGAGGTATATTTTATTCATCCCTGTGAAATGTATGGAATTGGTTATACAAGGTTATTCAAAACCTGAAACCTACTGGAAAGTATGGCTATATACCGAATTTTGTACCTTTGTAGTTGTATTTAAAACTTGATTTTGATGATTGTGTTCATGTATTCTTGATCATCATCACAATCATTATTACTATGATCATTACTATCACTATTCACTATCTTCCACCTCCTCAACATCATCACCCTCATCATCAAGAACATTATCAACATGCTGCATAATTACTGTATTCGTATCATCGTCATCATCATCATTATTATTATCATCATCATCGTATATCATATGTTTATTTTTTGTCAAGTACTAGTATGTCTTTTGATGAATCATAACAATTAAATTTTATTTGTATTGTCTATTAAAATTCAGTGAATTTTAATAGACTTTTTACTAATTCATATCTACATGGGAATACATGAGAATCGGTTGTTTAAAACGAAAAGCTTGATATAATAGGCATATATACAAATAAGCATATTTACATACACATAAGATATATATGTATATATATATATATATATGTATATATAATATATATAATCAATAATATAATTACCTTAACTGTAAGACGCCACATACACAATTACAAAGCAGCAATTCAACAGTCATACCAAATAAATCTATTATACTGTAGATACATTTACTTATTCTATTTATAGATATCGACTTATATATCTAGACGTTTGTAACACATTAACTACCTCATAATCTCAAAACATTTAGGCCATGTAGAGGGTATATATGCCATAAATTAGATTTGTCCACGATTATCCACCTCGCAATCCCCCAAGCAGGTAAAGTGTACTCCCTTGCTGGATGCCATAATAACCCAATGTTCGATCATCTTGTAGGGTTTTGCTCTGATATTGCAATCGCTGCTGGTCTGTGGGTATTCCTTCATTCTCGTATATCTTGGTCTTTAGTTGTTTCACTTTAGTCGATCTCTGCATGTTAGAGTAAGTTTTAGTTTTGCCATTTTGATTTTTGACCTCAATCTGAAAGTTGTCCGGAGTAGGCTTCACAAAATCCCTGAAAAAAAGAATAGCTTATTACATTAAATTAGCTAGTTATATTGTAGAGTATAAATTATAAACATTAGAAGATAAAATCTACTGTAAGATTGTATAACTTTACAAATGTATCATGCTTGTCTTTTTTTTTTAATTTTTATTATTGGTATTATTTTTGCATTACATTTCAATAGTCACATTTGATTAAGTAGGCCTATGATATATAT